TGCGGCTTAGCTTGTGTGGATGTCGTAATTACTTACTACTGTGTATTGTGTACGCAAGTGAGCACTAACAGATCTCTAGCACTCCCTTGGGACGCTGACCACACTTCAGAGGCTGTAGTGGGCTGAGGTTAAACGCTGGAGTCAACATACTGGTGTCATATGGAACTAGAAGACCTAAGGAATCCATTGGCAGCAACCATGTCATGCTCGCTGAGATGGGAAAGGGGTTAAATAATGCTCCAAGTTCAGCATGATTTGAATAAAAATGTGTTCTATGGGTTTTCATAAGTCTCCCCTTTACAGACATGCCCAATTTATGCTTGTGGCATTGCAGCTTTGGGCAAAAACCATGTCATTTTGCAGTACAATTGAGTTATTTTTGCCTATTGTATTTGAATATTTCTGCATACTGAAGTCCCTAAACAGTCTTGGAATTGCATAAACTGGGTGTGACTGCAAGGCTGAGACTCTTGTGGATCTAACGTGTGATGATGTAAGCCCCCCTATTCGCCATTTCATTGTGGTGAGACCTTTTTTGGGCAGGAGGGTGATGCAGTGGTTAGCATTGGGTTTTCTCCGAGTACTCTCACAGTCCAAAGACATGCAGGTCAATTGGTGACTCTAAATTGTCCGTAAGTGTGAATGAGAGCTATGTCTATGTGTCAGCCCTGTGATAGTCTGGCGACCTGTCCAGGGTGAATCCTGCCTCTCACCCAATGTCAGCTTGGATAGGATCCAGCACCCCGTGACAGAGTAAGCAGTTGCAGAAATGAATGAGACCTTTTTTCTTTAAACAGACATCACTGTACAAAATGACCTATTGTGACCTCTAGGTTTATCACAGCCTCATGAAACTTTACAGCCACTAACAAGAGCACTCTAGCATCCAGAGAATGTTTGGCTTTTATAGGTCTGTTGACAATGAGAGAGCTTCTCAGCAGATTCCAGAACAGGAGCGCTCACCCTCCAATCGGCAAAAATGCTAGTCTTTGGATCTTCAAATCTCTAAATGGCAAAAGCTTTTGACACTAACCCACAGCATGGGTTATTATGTGGTGTTCCTCGAAATGTTGGTGCCTTAATGTGGTATTTTGGAGGTATGTTTGACCATTTTTAACAATTCTCTAGTTTCAAAAATGCTTCTATTTGGCACCAAATCTGTGTAACAAATGGTGTTGTAACTGAGCATGGTAATGGTCATCATATACGTCCATCATAATGTCCTTTCAAACTTTCAAAGTTTGAATAGGGACCTAACCAAAACACAATGTTTATTACATATTTATGACTATGCTATCCGCATGCCTGACTCTCACCTCCCAAAACAAGCCCTGTACTCCCAGCTAGCTGAAAGGAAACGTGCACGCGGAGGCCACGAGAAGAGGTACAAGGATAACATTAAAACTAACATAAAGAAGTGCCACATAGACCTTAAAGCCTGGGAAGACATGGCAAAAGACAGGGTGACCTGGAGAAACCGTGTTCATGAGGGTGCTGCACAGTATAATGATGACCTCCGCCATGCTGCACAAGACAAGCGCAGACTCAGAAAGGAGAGAGCAACCATCAAACAGGCCCAACCCAAATCCACCACCACTGCATTCCCCTGCCCACACTGCACGAGAACAATCGGGTCCAGAATTGGCCTCCATGCTCACCTGAAGATCCACAGGGACCAAGAAGGAGGACAGTCATACTCGACTACAAGTGACCACCAATGATGACAACTTCTATGTGGCATTTAATGTCAAACTGCTATCTTCCCCTTAAGATCCCCTGCCTCCCCTAAAAAAGACTAGGATTAGTCATCTATTGACTATGACGGAATAAATCCAAAAGCCAGTTCCTATAGATCAGAATGCTTGTTCACACTTTTTCCAGTCCAGATTACATGACTGAATAAAACATACACCCAGGAATAAGCAAGCAAGGTTTATCTCTCACTTCCTACTGACCAACACACAAGGTCAGAAGTAAATATCACTGGACTGAAATAACCCAGTCATCATCACATTCAAGCATCCAGCTCCTACAAAATAAAGTGGTGAGGAAACATCTCCATCTGGTGGCGCCACACGGGAAACACACATCCTAACAAATGCATCAATGGTGTTGATTTGTGATTTTGTTTTGCAGAGTTCAAGATGTCCTGAAAACAAGTGGCATGCAGTGCGTTGATTGACAAAATTACCTTCTGCCTAATAGCTGATTATGCCGACGACGATCACAACAACGAATGAGAGCCGCCTCAGCACGGCTGCTCTGATTGCATTCATCAATTCAGATTTAATTAGTCATAAATTTGAATGTATCATAATTATTTAAAAGGAACACTGATTAAGATGCATCCTTGACTAAATTCTAACCACATGGTAATTTAGATTATGTGTGTGTTTAATATTCATTACACTCTAACACTGTATTCTTTAAAGTTTATTTTTTAAGGATGAGGTGCAATATAAAACATAAATGTTAGAACTTGATATATTATAACGGATCTTCAGCTCCTTGGCATGCTGCAATAAGTAATACATAGGGTGTACTGAATCAAAATAATAACTAATACACTTTACACAAATGCTAAAACCTTCACAGCACGACATCACACAGTGATTATTCCTGCGCTGAGTGACAGGCTTTGTTCTTACCAGACGCCCCTGGCAGCTTTAGATTGGAACAATGGATGCTGATCTGAACCTGAGGAGCAAAACAGCAACAAAATTTAATTGGGTGTTACACTTTGAACTGTTCATTAGCTTTGTAATTATAGGAACAAGCACATTGATCCACCTGCGCCTATCAGTCCTGATTGAACAGTTTATCGTGCCTTGAAATTATCTCAAAAATAAAATGTTTGTGCCTGGGATGCAGATGAAATAATTTGGCAAACTTCTGTGTGTATTTTACATTTCATTCAACAGGAAAAGGATGATGTGAAAGTATAAGTTATGAAAGAAAGAAAGATTAATTGAAACAGTTGGACAAATGTTAATGCTTAAATAAATTCTAATTTTACAGCCTCAGAAATGGCACTCACCAGGATCTGGAGCATCGGGCTGAAGAGCGGGGAAGTCATTATCAAAAAGAAAAGTGCTGTCATAGTCTGAATTAACCTGGAGAGCAACAGAAAGACATATCAGAATATGTGGGAAAAAAACAACATAAAATCATTTTTTATTATCAAATGTTTGGTAGCTGCAGGTGTCCATATACGTATCAAAATTGCCCTCTGCATTAAGTAATATAGGTAAATTATGCTTATTGGGAAATGGTTTATTACAGAATAAATATTGACAAACTGCACAGAGACCCCTTGACTGGATGAAACATCTGTGACATCATCTGTAGGTTTCTAAAGGAGTGTATGAATCATAGGTTCACTGCTTGCTGTCAGTTGTTGGAGACCTGCTGTATGTGTGCATTGATAGCATTAAAGTATTTACCTATTCTTACCTTTCCATTTGCACGTGTGTTCCCAGGACAGAGTGGGTTGCGGGGGTCATATCTGGGTATGTGTTCCTCAGGAGGTTTTTCCACCTGACCTGCCCAGGGTCGCTTCATGCGGTGGGCCGATACCAGCACCCAGGTGTCCCGCAGAGGGTTATAACGCAGGTGCTGGTGCTCTGAGGGGTGTCAGAGACATCAGACAAGGCAGTGTAATTACAGAGAGTGCTTGTTCCCTTGAGAAGTGGAATCTACTCATGTGCATGTGCACAGATGTCAACCTGATCAATTGGTCAGTTTATCCTCTTTATATGTTGTGTTAGTAACTACAGAAATTGCTTATGTTTCTTGCTGAATGGTGTTTTTAAAGAATAAATAATTTATTCCATAAGATGTAAAAAAAATTGTTGTGTTGTAGTTATTACACATTAAGAACTCCGACACACATCCACACATCTGTGGGTTATAGAGAAAACTGGCTGCTGTTGCTGCAACTTACAGCAGTAACTGAAGTCACATGACTACACAGCTGTGTGGACTACAAAGCAATAAGCACTCTGTCAATGCAGGACGATAGGCCTGACTGCACTGAGTGGTTTGACATCAACATATATTGATTACAGCGGATTATACTGTCTCTTTAACAGAGCAATCAATATGACCAAACTCCGATGAAAAACATGCTAATTTAATGTTTCTTCTAGTACTGGGAAAAATAGCTAAGGGATAGAGTATCTGTAAAGACATGTTTTAAATGACTAGGACCTAACAGTAAATTCGGCTTGTATATAATTCACTTTGGTCACATATATCTTGGATAAAAGCATACTTAGAGGGACCCAGTAAGCTGACAATATCAATAGAAGTGCCCTGTAGTGTAATGGGTCCATGCGAAGTCCTATAGTGTATCCTACTTATTTTTAAAAGTCTGTTTGTGTGGATTCGGCGTTTAGAAAGTAAATGTTAAACTACCAGATTTTACACTGAGCTTGGAGTCTCCTCATAGAGGTAAACAGCACCTTAAAGCTCCTGATAACCTGGATGAATGAAATTAGCCTTTAGCTCTCGTAAGTTAACAAAGCTCCTTACCTTTTGGATCAAAACTGACTTCTTTGTTGCCGCTCATATCGGTCGATACTGTTTGATATCTGTCACCTATCCGGTGTTGAATAACTGACCCATAAACTCCTTCTGAACTTTAGTTGACAGCTAGCTTAGCCGCCTCCTGTCCACATAACTCGGCCTACTTCCTGTTTTTCTGTTAAGCGATAAAAAGGTGCTCTTTGGGACAAAACCACGCGTGATCAAAAACCTCTTAAAAACCAAAAATAAGGGCGAAAACGACCAAATAATAATAATATGAAAAGTTTTTAAACAAAACTTCTAAAAATGTGTATTTGTTGGATATTATTTTTTATATGTGTATGCAAAATAAATAAAAAACATCTAAAGAGGGTTTTACAGTATACTGGCAACCCTGAAGCTGCTTAGCCTACTCGGCATCCGATTGGCTGAGCAGCCACTTCCCGCCCCCATGTGACCAGGAAGTAGCTGTCAGTTGCCTGTACACCACTCCTCCTCTCCCTATGGCGTGTTGGGCACTACCTGTCTGCCTCTGTGTGCACGTGTAGTGAAATTTGCTGCTGTGTCTCTGTCTGTATCGTTTTGTTTTCAACATGTCTGTAGTTAAAACGAGTTTAAAGCTGTTCCTGTTCGCCGCAGTCACCGTCCTGGCCGTGCTGCTGCTGCGGCACTGGATGGCCACCAAGCAGTACGTTTTCAACAAAGAAGACGTCGCCAAATTAGCCAAACAGTACGCAGGTGAGTTTGGGGATGAGGAGTTATATATATAAACTAGGTCAAGAGCAACTCACAGTTTACTTAAATGCAGATTAAAGTAAGAATACACGAATGTAAGGCGTCCTCCATAACGTTATGCTGTTCTGTCTGTCCTCAGGACAGGACCATGAGCAGGCCTTCTCCAAAGTGGTGGTGGAGCTCAGGAAGAGGTAAACAACCACATTATTTTGCATCAGAAATATATTCAGACACGTATTTGCATGTCAGCACTCACAACTGCAACTAGTGTACTTTCTGTACCAGGACATGTCTGGTTGTTGTTATGTAAAGTGATGAATGAAGTGTCAAAGTCATGATTGACACACATCCAGTTAATCCAGTTATTATTTAACATTAGACACAGTTATGTTCATAATCATTCATCACTCTTCCGAGGCATTTTTTAGGTAAACCTTCTATTGTGAATTTGTGTTATGAAGTCATTAAGTTGTGTTGAGTGTTTAAAAGCCAGCTAATGAAGTGTAACTGAACTAGGTATCCTGGCCACATCCTGCCAGACGAGGACCTGCAGTGGGTGTTTGTGAACGCCGGAGGTTGGATGGGCTCCATGTGCCTCCTCCACGCCTCGGTCACAGAGTACTTGCTGCTGTTTGGTACTGCAGTGGACACAGGAGGACACTCAGGTAAGGAATGAAGAGGGTCGAAAGTCTGTTTGCCTTGCTGTGATTTTGTCCTACTGAATTACTGAGTTAAAAGTTTTCCTGAAAAAGAAGAATCATCCAAATAAAACAATTTTCTCAACAATTCTAGAGAGTACGCTAAAACAGTGTGAGATTTTTTGTCATGTTCGAAATCTCAGTTTGAAATCAGTGGTGTGTGAATTGCAAACACTGCTGCAACATAAATATACATACATCAATGTAGTAGAGGACAACGTTCATAACAGACAGCGAACAACAGCTCTGTAACATCAATAACACTTCAATTTAAAGGTCCAGTTTGTAGGATTCAGGTGGATATATTGGCAGAAATGGACTATAATATAATAAGTATGTTTCCTTTAGTGTTTAATCACCTGAAAATAAGGATTGCTGTGTTTTTGTTATCTTAGAATGAGCCCTTTATATCTACATAGGGAGCAAGTGCTTATCCATGGAGTTTGCCATGTTGCACCGCCATGGACAAACCAAACCCTGGCTCTAGTCTGGATAGGGCCATTCACATTTTTGCTTTGGCCACTGTAGGGACAAGAGCGTTGGAAAAACACTTGGGCCAGTTGCACAAACACCCTAAGTTTTCTCTTTAAGTATGTCACTTGAGATTTAATTTTTCCTCAGCTGAGGGACTTACACAAGAGTGCTGGACAGAATTGCTGAGAAGGTTTCCTTAGTTGAGTAAATATGTTAAGGCATTTACTGCATTGAAAGATTTTACAGTGGTAAAAACTACAGCTACCATGATAACCATTTGTTTGCTTGCGCTCAGACTTGTGATACCTTAAGTCTTTTGTGCAATGGTTTCACTAACTTTAAGGGTTTAAATCACCTGGTCCATTTGTTTAGAGAGGGAGAGACCTCTGTGGATAATTCAGCTCCCAGTTAAAACCTGCTGAACAATGAACACTTGTGGAATTCTAACCGGGAGAAGTTTCAGCTGGTTGCAATCTGCAATCCTCACCACTAGATGTCACTAAATCCCACTAAATCTTACACACTGTTTTTTAAGTCTAACACCTGGGATCCACTGAATCCCTGAAAAGGATGCTTTGGAGGCGGATCCCGGAAATATGCGGGAATACAGATGGACGCGGCTACTATAGGAAAGCTCTCACCACTGCTACGATTAGCTTATCTTCCATTGCCATGTTGTTCCAGAGAGGGAAAGTAAATGAAACGTCACGACAGACCACCACTGAGCTTGCTCCCCATTGGATAGTGTCCTCGCGTCTGACGGGTTAATTTGCATAAATTTGAGCCACGGTCAACTTTTGGATGCGCCGTAGCTGCTCAAACGGCCACGCCACCTACCCAAAATGCTTTGTGGGGACTTCAGCAACAGTTTGACGCGATCCATAGGAAATGAATAGGCATAAGCGTCACGGCGTACACAAAAAACGCCAGTGGATCCCAGGGGTAAGTCTGTAAGAGGTGTTAAGGCTTCACTTTGCTAGGTGTCATGTAGTTTTAAAATGATTCATAAATTACCAGTAGGGCTGAGGTTGGCTTGGGTTACCATGGTTATACGTCTCTAACTGGCAAGGAGGCTCTCATGAAGTGACATGGTAATTACAGCTCAGTGTGTCCGAAAAGATACCTACTACTGTTTATTTACACAACAGTATGTTAACAATAGTACACACACTGGGTACAGTACACAGTGCATAGTATGTGATTATATTTCCTGTTAGAATGATTGTTAATGCAGTAGCTTACAAGATTTAAGGAGGGGCCAAAGCTGTTCCCCTACTGACAGAATAGTCTGCTCTCCTCTGCTGTCAGGTCGTTACTGGGCCGAAATTTCTGACACCATCATATCCGGCACCTTCAGGCAGTGGAAGGAGGGGACAACCAAGAGTGAAATATACTACCCAGGTAATACCTCAAACACATTCTTATCTGCACTTCTTTGTATGTTTTGTTTGTAAATAAATGGTTCTCTGTCTGTCTTATTTTTAATGCTTCACTTCCTCATAAATCTTACTTCTCAAAGGTGACACCATCGTACACAGTGTAGGCGAGGCCACATCGGTCCAGTGGAGCGCCGGGACATGGATGGTGGAGTACGGCCGAGGTTTCATCCCCTCCACGCTGGGATTCGCTCTGGCAGACACCCTGTTCAGCACTCAGGACTTCCTTACATTGTTCTACACCGTACGTGTCTACGTTAAGGGTATGCTGCTGGAGGCCGGTACACTACTTACAGAGGCCGGAGTTTTCTGAGGCTCGGAGGCCTGCACAGGGACAGTAACATCAAAAGTTCGCCTCATCATCACAAACCATTTTACCCCGAGACCACTGACATCTAGCATGGGGGAAACTCTGTACCAGATCATTCAAGTTCAGATACTATACCTGGAACTGTAGACAATCCAAATTTGCATCAGTACACTACATTCAAGTTCTTGCCCCTCGTCAAGGCTGTCTGAAATAAAGTGTTTGTCGCTTTACCCTGTGACATCAAACTGCATCAACAACAGTGCAGCATATATCACTGACGTCTATAAAGGCTGTACCACTAGACGAGTCCATCAGTGATACTCAGCGTCTTACTGTAAACAATAAGCATTCCTTGGAAAGCTCAGACTGCCGACATCGCCAGTGAGGTCTTCATTAGTTTTTAAAGATCTGGCTTAAAGATTGGAGCCCCAGATACCTTTGTTGCAAGTAGTTTGCCAAAACTGAGATACGTATTCTGGAAATGAGACAGCATTTGTAAAAACCACAGACATATATACGTAGTGTCAGCCCACTGCAGCTATACGTCAACAGCGCCGCCATATTGGAGAGGTCAAGACCAACCTGTAAACAAATACAAGTAAACAGGGGAGCTGCATTTTTTCTGGATTAAAAATGAAACAGTGATTCCAGAGAGAAGCAGACAGAGCGGTCTACAGTGTGTTTGAAGGATATATCCAGGATGTCAAACTGACTCAGCAGCCAAACTATAGGCTACAGATCACAGTGTAAAAGTGAACCACCACATCACTGCTGATCGCCACACAAGACAATGAATATAAAGGGAAACTTTGCTGATATTGAACCAGCTGTGTGGCATCGCCGTGTGTGCAGATGAATCATGTTTGGCTTCACCCTGTGCCACTGGATGGGCAGGGATATCCGGAAGAAGTCATAAACCCCAAAATATTGCAATCAGCTGGGAAATATAAACGTTGAGGTGCTTTTTACCCAGAAAATCTGCAGCTTCCCCTTTTATTCTCATTGCCTCTTCAATATGGCGGCGCTGTTGACGTACGATTAGGCAGCCAATGCGGCATCTATGTTTCTATATCTATCGTCAAAAGCCTTTTGATGAATAACTCTTTAGCAACCAATCCAAAAGCTGTTAATAAAAAGATTAGTTGTCGACAACACATTTGGGGACCAAGGAATCACTTTAAAACAAATATGCAACAATAATTTGGCTTAAAAAACAAGTACAAAATATCTAATGCAAAGCCAAAGCACAGTATTTTATTAGTAAATACTCATTTCATATTTTCATGCATGTGGATTCTCAGTAAATGAGGATCTCTCTGAACATCTAACTTCTTCAACCAATAACAGAAACCAGCATCAAGAAGCATGTTTGCTCCAAAGATAAAACCTCTCCTGACATCCGGCTCCATGTCTTCACTCACCATTGATGATGTGTTTATACTATATATTTTTTTGAAAATGTTGAAAACCTGAGGGGATCTGGAGAAAGAAAACTGCCAGGATGATGTGTGTGCAATGTCCCACTTTTTTTGGCTCAGTATGAGTCATAGTCAGGTTTATATACCAGCTCAGTGACAGCAGTGCTTTAATAATTACAGATACTCTGTCATGATGTGCGCTTAACTGCTTCAGAGCTACTGTGCAACAGATTGCAACTTTCACATTTTTCCTCTCGTCTCACAACTTCAACTTTTTTTAGGCTTAATGTACAAAGGTTCTGTCATTGTTTTGTCTTCTCAGAACATTGGTAGAGGGTTATCCATTAAGTACAATTACAGTTGTAGCCCTGTGATGACTTCTTCTCAAACTGTGAAGCAGAACATGTACAGCACATACTGTAAACACTCTATGGTGCTGTCAAACACCAACAGATATGTTATTGGGAAAAACTTTGAGAGGGCTTTGAGAGTTTTGGCTTGGGAAATTGTGAAAAAAGCAGTGTTGTTCTGTACATCAGACCTGTTGTGTAAAACTGTAATTGTACACATTTCATTCATTTATTCATTCATTCTTTGATTTAATGGGATGGATTGAATTTATGAAACGTGATTTAATTCAAAAACTGTATCTGATATATTTCAGAGAGGTGTTGCCACGATACTGGAACTGCTAACAGCACTATACCCTAAAAATGTCAACATTATTAATATTGATCGATATGTATCAATAAAATCAGTATTTATGACAACACTAATCTGATATAGTTCAGAGCAGGGGTTCCCAAGTGGTGGGCCAAGGTCCAAAAGTGGGTCGTGGGTTCATTCTGAATGGACCACAAATGACTTGTTAACATGTCAAGTAAAAACCACACTTTATTTTGACGTACAGTGAATTTCCAGCACACAGCTTTTATTCTGAAGTGCCGTTTCCTGCTGTAGAGTGAGTAACTATCAGACAGCTACGTGACAGAGACAGCAAACTAGCTCGACGACATGACATAACGAAAGTATGATGCCGAATACATTAACCTGTGTGGACCTTGAACTCTTGACGAAGGAGAAATCTGGTGGCCGGACCAGTTGGGAACCACTGTCTCAGAGATTTATGAGCTTAAACAGACTTGGTACAATCATTTTTGAAAATGTAACTGTAGAGATAAACTTGAATAATATTGTGCTCTGACTAAGTGAGACCACTTTGCTGCAGTGTCCTCAGCCTCTAATAATTGTCTGGAACTTTGCACTAGCCCAACTGGGCAGAAACATAATGGTATCCACAGGCTTCATCCTCTACAATCCCACATTGTAATACAGTATAATGTTGAGAAGAAGTGGCAGAAAGTCAATGCCTTGTGGAAATAATATTTCACTCAGAATTGCACTGTACAAGCAAACACTGCTACCAAATGCATTGCCTCCTAGTTCAGATGAAACAGCCTTATTATGCCTGAAGCTGGCAAGGATCATGTCGGGTTTCTGTGGGAGTGAAATTATACTGCACAACCACCCAAACTGGAGTTACTTGGTTTATACAGCAGCATCAGTAGCAGTGTGGTCCCATGGATGGATGGCAAAACATACAAATGTGTCACTGTACCTTAAACGTTGATGAGCGATGTGCAATTTACTGTAAGGTAAAGATGAAAACTGACAGTGCCAGAGGAAATAAATGTTTTTGAAGGAAAATGACACAAGACTGGTTTGTTATTACTTATTAAAACATGCACATCAAATCAAGATTCATACATTTTCATCTGCTTATCCGGGGCCGGGTCGCAAGGGCAGCAGGCCAGGCAAAGCACCCCAGACGTCCCTCTCCCCAGCAACACTTTCCAGCTCCTCCTGGGGGACCCCGAGGCGTCTCCAGGCCAGATGGGATATTTAGTCCCTCCAGTGTGTTCTGGGTCTGTCGCAGGGCCTCCTACCAGTGGGACGTGCCCAGAACACCTCCAACGTGACGGACAAAAGCTTCGGACTCAGTGTGCAACCGGGTTAGACGCAACGTGAAGTTGAATTTATTTTTAGACATGCAACAATGTCTGACAACAAAAATGGACTCAGTGTGCAAAGGCCTTTAAACTCAAACCAAACTCCAATCAAATGATAAAACTAATCAGTGCTGATCAAATGTAAACCAAGATTCTCTTAGTTTGTTGCCTGTTCTCACCTATGATGTTTTCAGGAACATCCATCCATTGATCCACTTATCAGGGGCCGGATCATGGGGGCAGCAGGCCAAGCAAAGCACCCCAGACATCCCTCTCCCCAGCAACACTTTGCAGCTCCTCCTGGGGGACCCCAAGGCCAGATGAGATATGTAATCCCTCCAGCGTGTTCTGGGTCTGCCCCAGGGCCTCCTACCAGTGGGACGTGCCCGAAACACCTCCAGCAGCAGGCGCCCAGGAGGATACTGATCAGATGCCTGAACCACCTCAACTTTTGGAGCAGCGGCTCTACTCTGAGCTCCCTCCAGATGTCCGAGCTCCTTACCCTATCTCTAAGGCTGAGCCCAGACACCCCACGGAGGAAACTCACTTTGGCCGCTTGTATCCGTGACCTCATTCTTTTGGGCACTACCCAGAACTCATGACCATAGGTGAGGGTTGGGACATAGATGGACCAGTAAATCAAAAGCTTCACCTTCTACTCAGCTCCCACTTCACTTTGACAGTCCAGTGCAGTGTCTGCATCACTGCAGAAGCCACGTCAAACTGCCGATCCATTTCACGCTCCATTCTACCCTCACTCGTGAACAAGACCTCAAGATACTTGAACTCCCTCGCTTGAGGCAGTACGTCTATCCCAACCCAGAGGGGGCAATCCACCAGTTTCCGGTGCTGACTCTCATCCCAACGACTTCAAACTTGGCTGCAAACTGCCCCCTTGCATGCTGGAGGTCACGGTGTGATGAAGCCAACAGAACCACATCATCTGCGAAAAGCAGCGATGCAATTCCGATGTCCCCAAACTGGACCCCTTCTTCCCCCCAGCTGCGGCTTGAGATTCTGCCCATGAATAACACAAACAGGATCGGTGACAAGGGACAACCCTGAATCAAGATTCAATTTGGTTTTATTTATATAGCGCCGAATCATAACAAAAGTTATCTCAGGATGCTTTTCACATAGCGCAGCTTTAGTACCAAACCCTTAAATTTAGATCAGTTCATCTGTACAGAGTGATCCATTTAAGGTGCCTTTGTTCCGGCAAAACAACAACAGGTAATTTTGGGTGGTAAACACAAGCTGAGTGAAATAACAAAACTGACCTTATATACTCCCGAGAGTTAATAAAATAGAGATGAGATTAGAGATTGTGGGTAGGTGGAGAGATGCTGCGTGAACAGATGGTGTTATTCAATAAAACAGGCCAGCAGAACAGAGGAGAGATGCATCAGTCCTCATCTTCGTCTGTAAATGTCAAGAGGATGCAGACAACCTGATTTGTTGTCATCATATCCATGAGAGAGGTCCAGGTGATGATGATAGAAGTGTGTGTGTTTGCTTGTCTCTGTGTATGTGTGTGTGCACATAGTGGTGGAAGTGTGTGAGTGTGCATGCCTTAGAGCACATCCTACATGCCATAGCACATGTGGCTTCCTTCCTCCCTGCCTATCTATCCATCTGTGTATGTTACCATATTACCCCACGTATAGATTTAATGTCAGCCTAACAGACTAGCCTGACCCCGCTGCCCTCCATCTCTTTAAGCCCTTTAAAGGAGATGTATTCAGAATCGAAGCTGGGCGACCTGCGCTAAAATACCAGCATGCCCAGGCAGCGGCAGCACCTTAATGGGATAGATGGCAGCCTCTTTGACTAATCGCTCGGTGTGTTCCAGGTCGATGATGTCCTCCCACTGCATGTTGGGGCTGTGCAAATAGATATTCTTTAGGGGTGAACACACACACAAACACACAAAGGGATGGATATAAAGAATACAAAATAATGCAAAACAAGATTCACAGTCACACTAGTAAAAAGCCAGTCTGTGTGTGTGCATACACAAACACTCCACACACACTCTCGTGCAGTTAGGCTGCATAAATTGGTGTCACTTAGACATCAGATAAAGGAAACACAAAGAAGACCTGGGCCTTCATTATTACAAAGCTTTAATTTGCTCACAGCAAAGCTCTACCCTGCTCTCTAGTGGACACATTCAGTATCACATCGCTTGATATTTGGGGATAGAAATATTTTTACATTATCTCAGCAGGACTAACATATGACCCCTAAATGAGGCTGAAGTTTAATTTTATTTTTTATTAAATAAAAGAGCTAAACTAAAATATCACAACAAGAATACTATTCATTCATTAATGTTAGAGTTCTGTGTGTAATATCACTCTGCATAGAAAACCATAGAAAAGAAAAATGTATTCAGGGAAGTTACTGTTATTTAATTATAGTTTAATTATAGTTTTGTTATTAAATGAAATATTACGAGCATTGAGCACATTAGAAAAGAGGGGAAAAGAGTGGTCCATGTACTCAAATCCAATTTGTTTGGTTTTTGAGTTTGAAAAGTGAGAGAGATAATGATGATGTTTATTGTATATAATGAAAAATTAAAATAAAATCTTGTAAAAAAAAAAAAAAAAAAAAAATACTGGTCACATAATATTTTTTCTTAGACAAAATAATTTACAGTATTAAAAATAAATCTTAACCAAGGATCTGTCATCACATGTCTTGACCAGAATGTTTCCCCACATACTTTAATTTATAAATGTGTTTGACTTTGTAAGTAGGCATTGAGAGAGCTATTTTATTCTATTAATCTTATTTTTTTAATTTTTTTTTTTATTGGTAAATCTTTGGCAGTTTTGTTGAAGTTTAGCAGTATTTTGCTCATTTCCACTGCTGTTTGTATTTAAAAACATTCAGGGAAACATGGATGGATTACTGAATGGGTCTAACGGGGACAGGCCCTGGGCCCACAGTGTCAGGGCCCTCCTGGACTTTACCTGCAAAATGGTGGTCAAATTAACACCTATCAACCAAGAAGAGACTTAAAATGACCACAAGGAGATGCAAAGGAACTACAAAGAGACACATAACCACTAATAAGAGATACAAAATGACCAAAAAGACACAAATGTACCTTGAAGAGACTCAAATTGACCTTTACATAAATATAAAACAACAACAAAGACATGCAAAGGGCTATAAAAAACAAAGACACAAAATGACCCAAAAACATATAAATATATGTCAAAGGGTCGGAGTAACTTCTTTTAGAATTTTTTTTAGAACAGTTTATAAAACAATAATTGATTCTTATTCCAGAATCTTTTGACTGAAGATTTTCTATAAAATTATTGCTTCTTAAAAAACAGCTTCTTATGTTTAATATTAAAAAGTCAAGCTCTAGTGACTATATAGAATTATAATTACACTCTACCTGTCAAATGAGTTTAATTTATTGATTTTTACTATTATCATTATTGCCATTCACTGAATTACTGATTTGATCCTACTAACTTTTATGTCCTTTGTTTTATTTACTTTGGTCTGTATAAGTCTAAGTCTTCAGGTGGTTTGTTTGTTTTTTTTGTTTTGTTTTTCTTTGTTAGACCATATTTTCATGCCATGTTGTCATGTGTGCTTTGCTTAGTATTATTTGTCTGTAATAAAAAATACAAAATTCCTGCGTCAAGAGTAATGACTTATCATTATTATTATTATTATTATTATTATGATTTAAAAAATAAATTAAAAAAAACAACAACACGATTTTGGAAAAAGTAATATGATTAATCAAATAAAATAGCTTTCTAAATGCCTACTTGCAAAGTCAAACATGTTTTTAAATTAAAAAAAATGAGTATGGGATTAGGTCTGTTTGAACATTCTGGAAAAGATAATGGGATGACAGATCCCTGGTTAAGATTTATTTATTTATTTATTTATTTATTCATTCATTCATTCTTGTGTGTATTTGAGTTGCATAAGTTTGAAATTGACCTAAATAAACTAAACTAGTGTAAACAAATGTTCCCCTCGAGTCACAAACTGACTATAAAGAAACACAAAACAACCACAAAGATGCGCAAAGTTACCAAGAAGAGACACAAAATCACTTAAAAGATGCCGACAACAACAAACAAGCAAAATAACAACAACAAAAAGATGCAAAGCCAGCACCAAGTCTGTGTCTCACTCCTGTTGTATGTAGAAGAGGTGGTGGGACCTTTTTCATGTCTGTGCCCAGGAGCCCATTGTCTCATGATCCGCCCGTGCAGGGAAATCAAAGACAGTTACATTACACCTGTGTGTACGGGAGCCCCGAGGGACAAACCGCAAGACACCACACACACACACAAAGAAACACAGTGAACACAGTAAGCAGTTGGTGGACTGTAGGAAACTGAGCCAGTATAACCACTGCGTCTCTAACCTGTCAGAGTCATGATGGAGCTTTCATACCAGTCTATGAAAGTCGCCCATCAAGCCCGGGAAGCGGTGAGTCAGTACAGGTTTGGTTTTTGAGTCTGCTAGCAGAGTTAATGGACAACTGTTGGTAAGCTAACAACTTTAAGCTAACTAGCACTACTTGGCAGGGGGGCATGTAACGTTAAATACCTCTGCTTATGGAGAAATAAACCGTCCTATATGAGAGGCAACGTTACAGTAATCATAACCAGTGTCCAGGGACAGGTCGTCGTATGTTAGACAAATGGTTAG